TTATCATTTGCCTTGAGATATGGAACTTTTAAGTTAAATTTTCATAGTTGTAGATCTTCCTTCAATATAAAGGAATACATATGATTGAATTTTGGGGAGTATCACTTATGTTTCTGAGTTCTCTTTTTTAAATGGGTTGTTCATAGTATCTCATGCCACACTCAAGAGAGCATGAATAAAGAGTGAAGCTGTTTTTTGGACTCTTCTTTTCTGAATATTATATCATTTCCACCAAAGACAGTGAAAGTGCTTGATTGGCATAGCCAAGTGTGTTTATGTCCACACTTGCCAGAGGGGCATAGCTGAGACTAGACCTGAGTTGTAACCAGTGAAAATCCACGTTCAATACACTCCTTACCAGCTTATCATCAGATGGTCAACTGTAAATAGCAAGTAGATGGGTTTTCCTCATTCAAAATGAATGTAAAAATGAATGTAGAAATGAAGTAAAAATATTAGGGAAAATATATCATAATAATTAAAGTAATAAAAGTATGTACTTTTATGATGCATCTATCTCGAAACAGTGATAGACTTGCTATTCAAAGTATGATACTTCAGAGCTACAAGCACTCTCCTCTGCATAATAAAGAAATCATTTCCTCTAAGGCTGGAAGACTTAGAACTGTAATGGCTAAACCTCTCCCTCCAAATTTCAGTGAGATTGGGCTACAATTATGAGAATTTATCAGACATATACAAAATAATTCCTAAATAGTTTTTTTTATACTCTATTACCTTTTGGGATGGGAAACCAATCATATGTATATGTACATCATAAAAAGAAAATTAAAGTTATATTTTCTTTATTTTAAACATTCTGATGTTTTGGATAAAACAGCCCCCATACAAACGCTGAATGGCCCCCGATTCACTGTCTTTCCCTACAGTTGGACTAACTACTTGTCCTCTACCACTAGGTTGTGAGCCCATCTGGAGAGTTTTTCTTTTCTTTTCTTTTATTCGTTAAATTATGGGTGCATTTTAGGTCTATGATATGGTGGCATTCATCATGGGGAATTTGTATCTGTACATGATGTATCTTGGTTCTTATTTTTTACCTGTTCTCCTGCCCTCACAGTAACTTCTCTGCACTGCCCTATTTACAAAGACTTTGTTTCTGTTTCTACCTCTTCTTATATTTTTTTATTTTTTCTTCTTTCCTTTCCCTTATTCCTCCCACTTCCCTTTCCCGTTCCCCTTTGGACCTTTTCTTCCTATTTCACATTATCTATTATACGTCTTGGGAGAGTTTGTGAACTCCTGCTGTGAGGTTTCACCTCTTTTCTAGTATCTTCTCTGAACCAGAGATACTGAAACACTTAAACTTTGGTCCCTAGATATTGGTACCTTGGAAAAATTCCCTGGATCCCGGAACCTAAAGGGTTTAACTATTTTGATATGCTGCCCTGCCAAAGTGTCATATTTTCTCTCTAGTCGTCATTGAATTTACAATGTTGCTGAGTTACAGATGAGAAACTGATAATTTCTAATAATTTTTTTCTATTTTTCAACTTCTTTGAGGTAAAATTAATTCATAATAAGTTGTGTGTATTTATAATACACTTTACCTTTTAATAAGTTTTGCCTATTAAAATTATCATTGGTGTAACAAAAATAATAAACCATATATTTTTACCCCAAAAGTTTCCTGATGTTTTCTTGGAATCTTTCCCTCCAATATTTCTCCATTTTCTCTATATTCTCTCTTTAAGCAACTGATAATCTTTTTTCTCTTGCTATGATAGAGGAAACTTTTGTAAATAACAAAAGACCTCAAAATGCTAGGAAAATGTAGGATGACTTCTGCTCTTCTAATTTAAATCAGCTTTGTTTAGTTCAAAATTAACAAACACTGGGAGGCATTAACCATAGGATGGGACATCTGGCCTCATCTGGAGATAACAGGGCGCATCAAGACCCCGATCTCCAAAATTTTGTTTGCCACGTGATTGTAAAAATGTCCCAATGAAAAGAACAATTGTTTAACTTTGCTTTCCTGACCTTGAACACCCTCTTCCCCTGGGCTAGGATGGATAGCTAGACAATCTTAAAGGTAAACTCCCTGACTACAAAGAATTGCTATGCCTGGGTTAAAGTTAACTGTCTTGTGACCGTGATTTGTATATGGGTAATGTGAACTGAGAGAATAAAGTGTAACTACCTGAATGAGGTCATGGCTGTAAAACCCTATAAAAGAAGGAGTTTAAACCGGTGTGGGGGGTGTGTGTGTCAAACTCTGGCCCTGCCTTTTTCAGTGCAATCAACCTTTTGTCAGAAAAACAAACCTTTTCTTATTTTACTCCCATTCTGCATCTGTGCGTATGTGTGTCACTTACCAATTCCTTCCGTAACAGCTACAGGTTAGTTTTAATTTTCTAGTAAAATATAAATTAAGTACTACAGTATATACTTTTTAATGACCTCTATCTTCTTCCAAATTGTATAATTTACTGTTATTTCTTTTATTTATTGAGTAGTATTCCATAGTACCACAGATACACCAATATTTGTCTACTTTCTTTTTTAAAAAATTTTTTTTGGTTGTTTGAATTATTTTCAGTTTGGGGCTATTACAATTAAAGTAGGTGTGAGTATTCATATATAAGTCTTGTCGTAGGCGTATATTTTCATTCTTCCAGGTAGGTGATGAAAGGGTACAGCTACTCTCAAGAACGAGGCCACACACACTGAAAGGTCCTACAGGAGACTTTATTCAGGAGGGCAGCACAGAGAGAGAGAGGAGGCAGAACAGAGAAAGAGAGGGAAGGGAAGTGTTGGCTTATTTGTAGGTTTGGGGTTGGGCTATCACGTATCTGTGGCGTGTAACCTATTGCAAGCCACATTGCCTTTGAAGGAGGGAGGCTTGCAGAAACTTTAGGTTTCAATTCTATATGCTGACGTGGTCTTGGGGAAAAGGAAACTTAGGGTAGGGGTATGGACGTGGGAAGAACCCGAAACACAGCCCATGATGGTGGCATCAGATCCCTAACAGATCATGAAAGGCAAAATAACCAGGCATCCGGGCAGATGTGCATTTGATTTTTAAAAGAAAACTTCCTTATTATTTTTCCAAAGTGGTTTTATTATTTTATATCTACCAGAAGTATGTTGTATTAAGCCAACATATGATGTATTGAGATTATTGAATTTTTCTCTCCAGTGGAATGTAATTGGCCTTCATTTTTAAAAGTTCTATAAATTAATGGACTTGGGAGAATATGAAATAATTCTGGAAGGGAAGAAACTAAACCAACAAAAGGAAAAGTATAATACAGATTCAAATACATAAATAAACTAGTACATGGTATATGTACAATTTTAAACAGGTCTATAATAAAAAGAGGCTGAGGCAGGAGGATTATATGTTTAAGGACAGACTAGGCAACTTGGAAACTTAGCAAAAGCCAGTCACAAAAAGAAAAGTGAAAAAGTACTGGAGTTATAGCTCACTGTAAAGGCCCTGGCTTCAAGACTCATTTAAAAAAAGCAGTTATGAAGGAAGAAATTTTGACATAATATCTAGAAAACAAGAAATAAAGTGTGTATAATTGCATAGTATAGACTACCTGACAGTTTTGTAACCACAAATAGTTGGAGAAAGGTTAGTTAAGAAATAATTGCAATATTCCAGGCAAAGATTAAAAAGGAAAAGTTGGGATCAAAAAAAAAAAGAGGAAAAATTTTCCAGTGAAAATTCCCCAGCATTTGGTAACTGATTAAATAGAAGGAATAAAGAAGAGACCAAAATGATTTAGTGAGTTAGAAATATGACTGTTTTAAAAGGAAATATTTTATTTGATTAGAAGTTTGGGTCATTTAGGTTTTTTTAGCACATACTTTTTTTGTTTGTTTTTGGTCTTTTTTTGGGGGGGTACCAGGGATCAAACCCAGGACCTTGCGCTTATGATGCAGGCAAGCTTGTACTGTGCTAAGTCCCCAGCCCTGCACATATTTAGTTTTTAAGAAAGATTGCCATTATAGCCACACAGCCATGATAGACAACAGAAAAGTATGTGACATTTAAACAAAATACACAAATCGTATTTATTTAGTGATAGGAGGGCATACCTCACCAGAAAATAAAAGCCCTTAAAATGACAAGGATGGAATAGAGAACACACAGCTCTCTTAGGCTCTTCGGGATATAAAATCTTTGCCAAGGGTCTGGTAGTGAATAGTCTTTCCACCGTGGTTGGCAAGCTGGGAAGTAAGGGTCTCCCACTTTTCTGCCTGTTAGTGTCTATTTAGAGGCTGAATGGGAGACATGGAATTGAAGTCACCCCATGATGCTACAGTCAGGAGGATAAGGGGACGGGGCTGTCCGTCCTGCAACTCTAACCAAAGAGTAAAGTGGTTATAGCTACTACATTAAGTTTTCTCCAAAGCTAAAAAAGAAAAAAAATAAGAAGAAAGTAAAATATGCCATCCTAGAGAATACGGGATTCTGGCTACATAAAAATGTGACAAATTTGATCACCAGCAGTTGCTTGAAATTACTGCTTGCAATCAAGTAGATATCCCTGATACTGTAATACACAACTTGTTTTGTAAGTGGTATAAAAATCTCAAAACTTTCATGATCTCAATAATGATGAGGTACTAAATCTTTTCTTAAAATATACAGATAGACAGATAGAGAGAGAGAGAGTTTCTTAAAATATACAGAGAGACAGAGAGAGAGAGAGAGAGAGAGAGAGAGAGAGAGAGAGAGAGAGATTAGATCGATAGATGAGTAATGCCTTTAGGGAAGTTCTCCAAAATGTTGATCATGATGAACTCTTACAGAAGCAGTATAAGCTTGTTTTTGTCTTGTTATTTTGTACTTTAAATTTTTCACTGTATCTTGTACAAAAAAGAATGTGTCATTTTCTCCCTAACAGTTATGAAATACAACAATGAGATTTCCATTTAAATACTATTAATTGACAATGGTTTAGGTCCACAATACAATGAGAAACTGCTTTGCAATGAGGTGTAGAACATGCTCGTGGGTTGCGGGTCTCTCTGGCTGGATTGAAGCTGAAATAATATTTTGTAGTTCATCTTTCCAGGCTTCCATTTTGAGTATTCCTGCACTCATTTCTCCTTGGAGGGCTTGTCTCTGTGCATTGTGAGCATTAATGGCCTTGTTCTTGGCATTTCAGAGAAATGAATTGTGAATTCTAAATGATTTCATGCCTTCCGGTTTAGCAACACTTTCCCAAGGGTGTAAGTGCTGAAATTTTTTTTTTCAATAATTTTGCATGTCAAAGATTGGTAACTCTACATCTGAAGTATTTTAAAGCCTGCAAAAAAAAGTAAGTGTTTGAGCTGAGGAGAAATTAAACAGAGGCAGAGTTTTCTGTTGGCTTGATCTACAGAAAGAATTTAGCTGGAAAGTCTTGGGCCTTAGGCAATGAGCTTCCTGGCTGTATCTTTGACACGAGCAGAATAGATGATGTTAATAGCATAGGCTCTGAGACAGTGTTCCAAGAACACCCCATGAATTCTGAAGTCATCATTTACTCTGTCTGAAATGTGAGAACCTGCTTAATGCCACGGACAAGGTCACATTTAACAGGAACAATGTATCAGACCAGCAGTGAGGGGAGGAAGTGCTGGGAAGAGTTTTCAAACTTAGGGCTCCCTCACAGCTACTAGAGGAGACTAATATGCAACTAGAACCATGGTGGGACGGATAACTGTGTCCAATTTGACTAGCTAAGGGGAAGCATCTAAGACTGACAAAGCGTCGTTTCTGGGTGTGCTTGTGAAGGTTTCTTCCAAGAAGTTATCATCTGTATCAGTGGGCTGAGTAAAGAAGAGGACCCTTACTTACACCTGTGGGTGGCATCATCATCCAGTCCATGAAGGGCCCTAATAGCACAAAAAAGTGGAGGAAGGGACCTTGTTTCTTTCTTCCATATTTGCAACATTCTTTTTCTCTGCTCTTGGATATTGGAGCTTATAGTTCTTGAGTCTTCAGAATCTAGGACTTCTATCAGCCCTTTGAACTTTGACTGAATTACAGTCTGATTGTTCTGCTTTCCCAGCTTGAGGATGACGTATGAGACTTCTTGGCGGCTATGATCATGTGAGCCAGTTACTGCACTACATTTCCTCCTCTCCTTTCCTTCCTTCCTTCCTTCCTTCCTTCCTTCCTTCCTTCCTTCCTCCCTTCCTTCCTTCCTTCCTTCCTGTTTTTCTTTCCATACCTATTCCATTTCTCAGTGGAACATTAATTAACACATGATGTAATCCTGCAGTTTACGTATGTGGAGGAAGGGCCACATACAGATCCCTGAAAACTTCTCCCTAGGAAACTCCAGTGAGAGAACTGCAGATGCAACACTTTGCGAGTGATTCAAGGCAGTGGATTCGGCAATGTGACCTATTTGTGCATTGCTGGCCATCACCTGCATTAAAAAATCTAGCTACAAAGAATAAACAAACGCTTTTAAAGGCAAGACTACGAATGTAAGAGACAGCACCACTAACAGTAAGAGTGAATAATAACTAAACAAATGCTTCAGTTGAGTTTCACTGGAAATGTCATTGCTGGAAACATTAAAAATGATCCCTAGGAAGATTAGTTGAAATAAGGAGAAACATTTTTTGTATGGTCTATCATTCATACTTCAATATATACCTGTACTAAACTCCAAGTATTTTCATGAGAAATTGTAGATTCAAAGAAGATAGAAATAAACTTGATATTACATTTTAGATAATTATTGGCAAGAGTAAACTCCAATTCAGTTGTACCTACCTGGTACAAGATTTAGGTGACATTCACGGTGGGAGCTTTGGCATTGGACCTCTGATTGTCATAGGGAAAAGATATGCTGATAAGATCACCTATGAATAATAAGCACACATAATTATGCCTGTTTAATGAATGAAAACTTTTTTAAATACCAGAGGAAAAAAATGTAACTATCGCAGGTGTCAGAGAAGGAGCAAGTGAATCACATAAAAGGCCCCCCCCCGAAAAAAAGATTATATATTTGAGTTTTACAGATTTTAGGTGAGTGTTTTGATATTTCCATGAAGATGGGTGATTATTAGACAAAGATAGGACAATAAAAAAGCCATTTTAGGCCACTTTTTATTCCAGGGGAAAAATACTTTACACACGAACTTTTTTTCTCTCATTGAGTTTATTGGTACATTTTAGGTATGCTGTACAGTTAAATTCATCATTGGGATTCTGTACCTTTACATAACAGGTCTTACTTCTCATTTTTTCCCCATACCCCTGCCCTCCCTTCACCCCCTCCTCCCTTCCTTATTTGCAAAAACCTTATTTCCATTTTTTGTTTTCTCAGATTTTTTTCATTTCCCTTATTTCCTTTCCCCTACTCTTCCCACCTCCCCTACACCTTTCAGGAGAAAGGGTTAATTTTGGCTTGTGATTTCAGAAATTTCAGTCTTAAGTCAGTGGGCTCCAAAGCAGAAACATCTTGATGGGAAGAAATGGCAAAGGAAAGTTGCTCAACTCACTGTAAGAGATAAGAGGAGAACAAGCAAGGAGTAAGGGGCAAGGGACCAGAAATATTTCCTAAAATCATATCTCTAGGACCCACCCAGACCCAAAAAGGTGCTTTACAAATATCTTGAACATTTCACAAGCCAAGCAAATTAACAGTCAAGGTTAACCATCTCACAAGCTCACACATTATCTTAAAAAA